CCCATTTCTCTGCCAAATATAGGTCCAGAACTCCACAAGGTCTTATTGTCTAACTCTTTTTTTTTTAAGTTTTCATCCATTTTGTGATCTTCCTAGTTTCTTTCTCAAGAGATCTTATGATTCCTGAGCCATTAGTAGCATTACAGCATTAGTAGTAGCTCTTGGCATTTTGGTGGTTGGCCATGCCTTTTACACACTTCTAAAGTGTGCTGAATCTTTTATCTTTGGCTAAAGTTTAAGGCTTGTTTTGAAGGCTTGTTCCCTGTAATGAATTTGTGGATCCAAGCAATGTATATAGTAGGTTTTAAAGGAGGCAAAATGTATTCTATTTATTGTGATTTGCAAGGGTGCATTTTATGGAATGACTAATTTAATTATTAAAAACATTTAATCTATTTGTGATTTACTGACATTTGATCTTGGGAAACACTCTAAGGTGAAATTTTCCTTTTCGCTTTCAAGGGGCTCATTCCTGACCATTATGGGTATCTTTCTGAGTACCCCCTAATAAAAGTTTTACCCCAAAAGCCTGTAGGGGTAAAAGTGTGAATCCTTGCTCTTGCCCTCTGTACTGTAAATGGAAGGCGGCTGTTTCATATCACAGTCCTGGAAGCCTTACCAACTTTGAAGATCTGTATGCTCTGATGCTTCTTACTATCAGCACCATTAAGAATGCTATATGGAATCAGAATCCTTTCTACATAGGATTCTCAGGAACAGACATGTCAAACTCGAGGCGCATGGGCCAGATCCAGCTGTGATGCGGATTTGGTCCATGGGGCCACTCTGGAGACACCCAGCCCAGCTGGGCGCTCCCCCTGAGTGTGCGCACAGAAGGTGGGGGCTGCTGTCCCCTATGAAAAGGAAGCGCTCGCACGCCGCAGGGCCAATGGGCGAGGCTGGGCTCTACACACTGATCTTCAACAACTTCATGGCGGCCACCCAGCCATGCCCACCTAGTCGCGGTGACCCGGCTGTGACCACCCAGCCATGTCTATCCAACCACACCCACCTGGTCGCTGTGAGTCATCATAGTTTTACATGCAACTGGGCCCATTGAGGGCAACCATAATGCTGATGTGACCCCCAATAAAATTGAGTCTTACACTCGAGAACACACTTCTAAAGTTCTTCTATAATTAAGACCCTTCTAATGGTATTTCCTAGTGCAATATTACAAGCATTTCTCCTATGAACAAAATTTAGTGTCCATGAGTTGTAACAGCAGGAACCTTAATAGATTTTTGAACCCATCCAGGATCCTGGGCTTACATTTATGGGATTTTAAAAACTTAATAGCTTTCTGAGGAGGAGGAGGAGGATTCAGCCTTTCCAAATGGGGTTTACAGCTCAAGAGAGACTTGAAGCAAGTCAGCTCTTAAGTAGTAATCCATATTTTATTTTTACTCCTGTAAGGACATAAATTAGAATAGCTTCAAGTGAGGTCAGATGGAACAAACAAGTTTCTCCCTTTTAGGCTGAACCTTGAAGGATATTAGAAATCCTTCTAGGCCAGTCAATGAGAACCAGTTTGTTGAAATGGTTAAAGGCACCAGATTAGAAGCTAGAGGACCTGTGAATTCTTATCCTGCCTTAGGATAAGCCTTATGGAACCGGCGGATACGGAGTCAGTCACTTTCAGCCCTGAGAAGAAAAGGTTAAATCACTTCTGCAAATGTTGTCAAGATCGCTGCAGGGACTTTTCCATGTAAACACCAGGAGTCAAGACTGACTCAAAGGCACTTTCTAAAAAGGATTATTGAAAATACCTGCTCAAAGGGGAAAAATATTTTTGTTATTCTTTAAAAATACGTGATTTTTTCCAGCCAGCTCTGTTAATACTACATTAACAATAATTTAAGTTTGTTTCCCTCAATTCTCTTGGCTCATTTCAATTTGAGCACAGAAAAGACAACATTTCATTCATCAAATGAGACTAGGTTGACCGTAGTGGCCAGGCTTTTCAGAACTGTAGTTCAGCAGTATTTAGATAGCCATAGGCTGCCCCACCCTTAGCGTGGAACATCTGGTAGGTAAATTTATAACTTCAGAGGTCAGGCAATTTTGTCAGAAATACATTGTCCCAGCCCTGAAAAAATAGTTTGTTATTGCACTTTATATTCCTTGAATATGTGCAGCAATACAAAATCAAACTGGTGCTACAATTTACTGTTTTGGGTAACTAATATCTGAACAGGTCCTCACAGTAGGGTCATTAGAGACAGACAGACACAGTAGAAGTAAAATTAATACTGTTGAAATTGCTCTGACAAGGTAAGCTGGATTCAGACTGCAAAATGTACCAGATAAAATCAAGATTTTTGTCTCTAGGATGAAAAGAGGAGTGAAAGTTGCACTGGGTATCACCCAGTTCAAAAACTGCTTTCTCTAGTAAGGGTATTCTAGTTCAGGAGTCCCCAATCCCCGGTCCATGGACCAGCACCGGTCCGCTGCTTGCCACAAACTGGTCCATGTGAACAGGGAAAGCCCGAGGAGCATATGAAACCCCCTCCAGTCCGCGGAAGAACCTCTCTCCATGGAACCGGTCCCTGGTGCCCAAAAGGTTGGGGGCCCCTGTTCTAGTTGACAGAACTCTGCCCAATACATGCATTATAGGCCTTGTTGAATCCTTAGCAAATCTAGAGGGAGCTGTTCCCATAGTTTTAATACTACTTTTTGAAGATTGCTACTGTATAACTTACAAAAATCATAACTCAGATTTCCTGCTTGTTGATGTTTCATTGGGAGGAGGAGACTACTTTTTCAATCTCTATTGAGATTGTACTAGGTTTGTGTTTCTAATGCAGCCCTCACAGTGACACCAAAATAGCACAGCAGGATTATTTGATGCTGGACAGAAACTATGAAAGGACTTTATTGCCTAGCGTAATGTCCCAGCTGCTAGGTCTTCAGGGATTCAGAAAAGGAAGGAAGCTAAACGTTTTGTAGTACCAGCTGTCTGCCTGCTTATCAAGCATTGTAAGGAATAGGGGACGGCTGGGTGCAGTTACAGATGTGAGCACAGAAGAGAGAGAACGTTTTTAAAAATGAAACCTTAAAACAGCTGAGCTTGTTTTGCAACTTGTTTTGAATCCTTGCCAAATGCCTAGCATCTACCAGGAAACCACGAACAGCTGAGAGTTGAGAACATCAAAACATCTCAATTGTAAGAAACAAGTCACTTCTTTCCTAATGGATGTACAGTACGCTTTGTTTCTTAAAGAAAAGCAATGTTCATAAAATATGTTTACTACATGTAAATTACTTGTGGTTTATTTAATTTAATATTATGGGTTCACACAATACACTAAACTTTAAACAAAATCATGGATTGCTTTTGGTACCTGGTAAGATAAAATATAGTTGACTAGCATTTTTACTTAGCATGAATCCACGGAGATTGGTTATAATTTAGTAAATCATGTTAATCATGTTAATTTACCAGGAATTGGCATGTATGAATACAGCAATTCAATTAGGATTACTTATTACTGATTATTAACTAGGAGAAGTAGTTGTAATTTTCCAAATGACGGATTTCAATTTTCATCAGCCTAACCTATATTGCCAATAGTTGGGAATGACAGAATTTAACATCATCAGGAAGGCTTCATGTTACTACACCTGCTTTTAACACTTTGCTTGACAGCAATAACTACTGAAGAACTGGGGTCTTTATTGTTTTATTCAATAAGTTATTGAATAATATTCAAGTCTTTCAAGATTCTCCTGAATCTTGTTTGTGTCATCTATTCCCACATCCAGCTTGATGTTCTCTGCAAATTCATTTTCTAGCTCAACTGCACGCTTCCCTCCATCTAGATGTAGTTCTACTGAGAACAATCCACTGAGTGTGGTTGGTAACCATTTGTGACTTCATCTGGTACTGTCTATCTACCCTACATTGTTCTACCTTACCAAGTCTACTTTGTCAAATGCCTTACTAAAATCTAAATAAACTATGTCCATAGCATTTCCCTTAACCACTAATTTAGTCATTTTGTCAAGGAAGGCAAGAATGTTTGTCTGGCATGATTTGTGACAAACCCTTGCCGGCTTCTAGTAATTTAGTTTGCTTTTAGGTGCTCACAAAGGTGTCGATTAACTTTTTTAGGATCTTCCCAGGTATTGATGTCCGGCTAATTGGTCCGTAGTTTCCTGGATCCACTTCTTTTTTGTAGATTGGAACATCAACTTATTTCTAGTCCTCTGACAGTTCCCTGATGTTCCAGCTTTGAAATATTTTGTTCAGAGGCTTTGAGATCCTGTCTGCCAGTTCCTTCAGAACCCCGTGATGTAATCCATTTGGTCCTGGCAATTTTAACTCCTCTAGAGCGGATAGATGTTCTTACGTTTTCCTGCCTATCTGTTCCTGTTTTGTCACCTATGATATTGCTTTTGATAGGTTGGATTATTTTCTTTCTTTTGCATAAAGACAGATGCAAATAATGAATTAAGCAGTTCCACTTTCTCCCTGCCACCCACCACCTCATTTCTGCCTTTTTAGTTTATTGAAGTCAGCTTATGAGAAGGGCTGCCAATACATTCGATTTATAAACAAATAGGCTATCAGACGTACAAAACTTTATCCTTGCGTTCATCTGCGTATGCATTCACAAACGTACAGAAAAAAATAGGTAATTTAAATACAGATGAAACGAAAAACAAAATACTTTTTACATTTTATAATCATACATCACTATCTCTAAAATAGTGCTTGATATGTTCAGTCCGGTAGAAGCTCTTAAATAATAATAATGCTTTCATGTTTTTAACATCCCGTTTTGGAATCCTGCCTCGTTCGGAGAAGAGTTACGCTAAGGACGTTCGCCCCACCTATTCTCTATTAACACCGGGCAGGTTCTGCGTAGTCTAATTGGCCCCGCCTCCAAAGCCCTCGCTCCAGGGGAACAATTGGCTGATTGGTAGCTTCCCAGCGACTGGGAGAACGTCCAAGTACTTCCGCTGGTGAGCCCAACCCTTTCCGTGCTGAGCGACCCGGAAATAAACCTGCTTTCAACGCAAGAGGCCTGAGGGGGCAACACGATGCCTGGGCAGCCGGCATTGCGGGTCAACGCGGCGTTTGCTGCGCGTTACGGGAAGTACCGGCGCCGGGAGGAGCTGCAGCGGCGTGAGTGGCGGACAACGCGGTCGGGTTCGGGCTTTGGGGGGCTTGTTGCCGCGCTGCCTTCTTGTTACGACTGATCTCTCGCTCCCTCAGTGCAGGACAAATATGGGGAAGAGGACGAAGCCTCGAGTTCCGAGTCGGCGTCCAGCGAAGAGGAGGTGGGTAGGCCTCGAGCGGCGAGAAGCCCCCGTGCCTGTTACTCCGGGAGGATCGGGTTACGTTCCCCGGCTGCTCTGACAACTGGAATCCCAAAGCCCTCGGAGCTACGTGTGGGATGAAGTTGAAGGGCCGCTTCTCTCGGCCGCCTTCCCAGAGCTTCTCCCGCGGCTTTTGCTGCCAGGGGCTTTTATCACTAGAAGGGCCGCTTATAATTTAAATTTCTACATTCTGAATTTACCTCTAATGCCTCCGACTCATTGGGAATCATCCCTGATGTGCAAGATTAAAAGGAAAAAAGCCCCCCCGAGAGGGCTGGGCAGAATCCTTAGCAATCAGCACTGGAGAAAGCTCTTTTCCTCAGGGCTCTTTTGAAGAACATTGGGGTCAGGCCTCTTATAAGGGACTCTCTCATGAAGGACAGTCTGTAGAGCTTTCTGTGGTCTGTATTTTGGGGGTTCTGTCTTTGCTGGGACAAATTGGGAAATAGCACCACAGACCAATTTTTTCCCCCTTGAAATGGTAATATTCACTTCTGGTGGTTCTTTCCTTCCATGATAGGAACTTGACCCCAAACTGGAACGAGATTTTTATTCCATGTTAGGCTTATTAAAAACAAAGGATCCCCGAATTTATCAAAAGAATGTCACTTTCTACACTGAGGAAGGTGAGTATTGTTTACAATTTTGGGGGGATTAAGGCAACTGTCCAGTGGCTTCGTCCAAATATACATACGTACGTACGTACGTACGTATTCATTTGATTATTTATATTGCTGCCTATTACCATATGGCAACCCAAGGTAGCTCACAGGTGTGTGTGTTTGTGTAGGAAATGGCATATATATATATATATATATATATATATATATATATATATATGTATGTATGTATGTA